CTAGTTCTATTGCTTGTTACTATATGTGTATTAGAAATACCGTAAAGTACTGTAATTTACACTCCTACATACAACCATGGTTCTTCAAGGGTTCTTTAGTAAAGGCAATGGTCCTATTTAGAACTGTGAATTCTACATTGAACCACTGCATACTTAAATGGTTCTTTGCGTGGTGAAATGTTCTTCTGGTTGAGGAAAAGTAGGTACAGCACCAAAAAGGGTTGTGTTATTGTTATGATGTCAAGCTTGTAACAATAGCAGACCTTTTTTTGGTGCTATATAGAACGCTGTAAAAGTGGCTTGTCAGATCTACCGAAACAAATACTTCATGTGGTAACAAGAAAATTAACTAGTTCTATTCAACCTAAATAAACAATTAAGGCAATCTTTTGAGTTGGAAAAAAATGGTTCAATTGCTTGTTACTATATGCACTAATTTGTAGGTTGATCTGACGAGCCATTTTTTTTTACAGTGTGTATTTAGAAATACAGTAATGTACTGTAATTTTATACAATCTTAAAAAAAGAAGGTTCTACAAGGATTCTTTAGTAAGGGGAATGACTATTTTGAAGCATAAAATCTATATAGAATCTCTTCATGCTTGGTTCTTTGCATGGTGAAATAGTTCTTTAAATTAACGGAAAATGCATGTATATGGTTCTATATAGAACCTTTTTGAAAATGGTTCTATATGGCACCAAAAATGTTCTGCTATTGTTACAAGCTTGACATTGTAACAATAATAGACCCCCCTTTGGTTCTGTACACATTCTCCCTCAACCTGTAAAACCATTTCAACATGCGAAGAACAATTTACTTGAAACGGTTCAATATAGAACTCACAGTTCTAAATAGAACCCTTACCTTTACTAAAGAACTCTTAAAGAACCATCTTTTTACGGGTGTACACTGTAAATACCTCGTCAGATCAACCTAAAAAATTTACTTCATGTAGTTACAAGCAATTGAAGTAGTTTATTTCAGCTCAAAAAATTGCATTGATTGAAAGAATGATTCATTCAAAGTATTTATTTAGGTTGAATAAATGTAGCTGATTTACTTATCACATGAAATTTTTGATCTGATGAGCTATTTTTTACTCTGTAGTACAGTATAAATACTGTAAATTAACAGTAAATTGCTGGCAACATTGCTGCCAGTGAATTACTGTAGTAGAATATATTTTGCACCTAAAATCAAACCGAGAAACTGAGGTATAATATCGCGATATCGATATTTCAGTCCACTTCATTCTCCTCTATTGGCTTTCTAAGCGTGTATAAACTGTAGATAGGCTATCAGTGTAAAAGCCCTGGGGGTCAAACAGAGCTTTAGGACTTCACAGCTCTGCGGCAGAGATAATAACAGTAGACAAAGCCCCTCTCCGACCACCCTACAACTTATTTATTTATTTCATTTGCTTTGCTTTCCAATATTTTGGGGTGAGATGAATAAAATGCTTTGGGTCAGCGGGTTAATTGCGGTTATCAGATTACAAACCCCATACACGGGGGGCTTCAGCAATATTAGAGAGTGGGTGTGGGTCTTTAGGGGGGGTTAAAAGCTTGGCTCTGGGGGTGTTAGGTCGTGTTTCGGGTGCTGTTTGGTTGTGTGTGTTATATAGGTCTTTCTGAGTGTGTGTGTGTGTGTGTGTGCCTTCAGTCCCTGTGCTGATTCCCGCTGCGCCCCGGGTTCCGCTCGTGGCTTCTTCAATACTTTCTGCTTCATGAGTCACGAGCCGGAACCCGCAGGCCACGCGCTCCGCTCCTCCCGCCGCATTAAATACACCAGGCGAGGGGTTGGGGTGGAGGGGGTGGGGGTGCGGGGTTATAGGGGTGCACGGATGGGACGAATAAAGGCTCGTGCTGCTCTGTCCCCGGTGAAGCGCGCGAAGGGAGGGTGCAACCGGTCACTTGCAAGCACGAGCGAGATTGAACATCAGGCTTTAGTTACTTTTATTACATTTTTATAACATTTTAAAGTCTAATATTTTAATAAACTAATAAACTCTTATAGTTTAAAATAGTCTAAACGTAACACCCTCGACTGCATTTCTATAAAGGCCGTGTTATTATTATTATTATTATTATTATTATTATTGTGTGTGTACAGAATTCTGTGATGAAACAGTGAGAAGAAAAAGCATACTATGTTTCGTTTAATTAATTTTATTTTATTATATTTTGTTTAGTTCTCTACTCAAATCATGGCTAATAATCTTTAAAACTATTTTAAAATATTCAAATTTGAGAAACAGAACAGGCTACGGCTGTTAACGTCACGTGACACATGTATAATATTTTGACGACTCAAAAATTTTGTATTTTTTTCCCTTTTTTTAACTGAAAAATTAATGATTTAAAACGTAAGAACGAAAAAAACGTTTGTTTGTTTGTTTGTTGGTTGGTTGAAGTGAAACGCACGACCAGCACATACAATAAAACACATGATTTATTCTCATTTTTTTTATATATATATAAATGAAAATCACTGGACAAGAACCAACTTCTACCCGTCACCATATAACAAGTCGTCTATGAAAAAAGAAATTCAGAAAAAAAATTATAAAATAATGAAAAATAAAAATTACAAGATGCTATCTAAACCAAGCGTTCACCCACGCACAGGGACACAGTCACAGAAAGACGAGCCAGCTGTACAAACTTCCATTAAATTAGGCATAAATAAATATGTACAAACATAAATATTAGACTTTCGCGCTGATTGGCTCAGTCAGACTTCCGCTCTGACGTAATGGCCTTTCTGTAGTCTACTTTTCCTCTTCCAAAGTCCAACAGCCTACGTTAACCAACGTGGTGACCAACAGAGAAAATGAAACAATAGTAACAGCGATTAAGTGACGTTTCTGCTCCTAATTTTATGCGTAAATAAATTCTAAAACGTGTAAATCGACACCAGCTGTGCGACTGATGGCATGAATAGAATAGCAGTGATATTCATCTCAGGTGGTGGAATAACTGATCTGCATTTTTCTGACCCTAATTGAACTATTAATAATGGCCATGACTGCACGAGGAACAGCGCACACAAAAGCCAACCACTACAAAACCATAGAATCTGCTTTGACGAATGGCTTTGAAATGGACACTCCACTCTCCCCTCCACTCACAGTCCAAAAGGGGAAATGGATAGGTGTGAGAATTTGGGTTTGGAAGGCTGAACTGAGAGACTCGCCTCCGTAGAGCGCTTATAAAGGGTGTCTCTTGGGCCAGTGTGCAAAAACGAGGTGATGTCAGATACAGTAGCTCGCAATGGGACGATTCAGTACAACTAGATCTGCCTGCTTCGACGCTAAAGAGCCTCCAGAACAACACTGTACTCAGTCCAAACCAACATCACTATCATGGCTGTGTGAGATCACAGATATAAAGCAAGGCTAAAGCACAGCGACTCATATAACACTGATGGAATGGTGACCATTCATTGAGATTCAAGGACTGAATCAACTCAGTCTCACCAGTGATAACCTGTCTCTTCTCCAGCGGACACTCCATACACAGCCCTGTCTTAAAGTATTAGCACCCTTGATCAAATTAAACGTTTTTACGTTTTGTTCATTTCCTAGCTGGCCTGTGTGTGAAAGTTATGGCATATTTTGTCTTATTTTTTCCAATATTTTGAACAAATAAACAGAAATTGTGCAGTAAAAATATGACATCCTTAAGTTTTGTAGGAATTTGACCAGGGTGTTCAAACCTTTGCACATGACTTTATGTACTATACATACACTACTGATCAAAAGTTTGGGAGCAATATTATCAATAATATAAAGCCAGAGTAGTGATAGATGAATATACAACTTTACAATTTTATGTCATTTTAAAATTAGTAGTAATAAACTAAATAATAAAAATAAAGGACCCATTGTCAACATTTTTGACAATTTATGTGCCATAATTCATTTTTTGTGACCATCTAGAGTTAAATTATACTTAGAATTTAACAGGTTGGTTGTATCAGCCTTTAAGACTGATATATATAAATGAGCTCTGCTCTGATTAACCTTTAATGTGTCTCATTCAAAAAGCAGTCCACTCTGAAACACTCCTTATAACTTCCCTGTGAGTGGGTGGGGCTAAGATGCTGTATGCTGAATATGTAAATATTTTTGTTTTTGTATCGCATTTAAAATAGGCTGGATGGTCTGGGGACTAAACATTACGTTTTGAAATGTAAACAGTGCTTACATACATGCATCAAAATATTTTGGTTAGTATTTCTATTTATAAGAGATGAAAAATCAGTTTTCCATGATGTGGGCCTTTTAATATCCATAAAGTGATAATCCCATCTGAAGGCAAATATCTTGACAAAAAATTACGGTATATTACTGTTTTCTTTGTTATTGTTTTTGCCACAATGCTTACATTTTTCATTAAAGTACCTTTTGTTTTCTAAGAGTATTTAAATCTGCACTATTTAAAGTGTTAGTCTTCATAGAATAACAAAAATCATTCATTTGAAAAGTGATGCCAAACTTTTGAACAGTAGTGAATATATGTATTTATCTCACTGCTGCTGGAACAAAATCTCATATTTTTTGACATTTTTCAGTTTTTGTCATAGTTTGAAAATGCCTGTTGCTCTTTATATTTTGTGTAAATTTCATAATAAAGGGACCAAAAGAAACGGCCCAAAATGACTTGGAAAAATGTCTGGTTCCATTGACTTACATTAAAAGTAAAGTAGGTTTTTTCCTTCTCCTTTAAAGTTATCATTTTGGATATACAAATATATGTCAAAATGGCCATTAAGTGACAAGAGATATGATAAAGGCGACAGAAAATGGGGCTCCTAACAACCACCTGCAAGACCTGGTAGACCACCAAATCTGCCCCCCATCAGATAAACAGCACTTAAAGCTTTCATCTTTGGGAGAGAGGAGAAAATCAAGCTGCTTCCGATCTGAAAGCATCCACAGGTGTTTCTGTCTCAGAACAACAGAGTCCAGACCTCAACATCACTGAATGTGTTTGGAATTATTTGGATTGTGAGAAGCAGAAAATGCAAAACCAACTTCTAAGACTGAACTTTGCCTTCCAAAATGAATGGAAGCGGTAATAAAGCTAACAATGAATACTGAAAACATTGATACTGGATTTAGTTGCTGAGGCTTCTGTGTAATATGTTAAGTATATCTTGTACTTAATGGCTGTTTTGACAGGAAATGACATAAACGAAGGATGGTTTCTGACTTCTGCACATGTCGATGTTAACACTGGTGAGTTTATTGTGTCGGATGTGCTGGTTGAAGAGTGTTAATTGGCATTTTCTTGTTGAGTTTGTGTCTGATGTTGTTTCGAGTGTCTTTATGGTGAGCTTTGTTCAAATGTTATAAAACTCAAATGTTGTCAGATTTGTATTTGAGGTCTGGATAACGACAGGCTACATCATGTGATCCACACACACACACACACACACACACACACACACACACACGCACCACATTGCATGAATGCCACAGCAGTGTCGAGTCCCAAAAGTCTCATTTTCCTTTCCGCATCCCTCCCTTCTGTCTTCTTTTCTTCCTCAAATGTGCCGTTCAACCCAACAGAACGTAAAACATAATGTCATAAATCTCGAGTACAAAGAATCTCTGGACACCGTCGAAAAGTGACTCATAAAGCAGCGCTCTCAGAGCCACCATCATCATCATCATCATCGTCATCCCCACGGCCGCCCTCCTTTTTCCCCGCGCCTCATTTCCTGTGCTTCTCCTCTTTGTCGCCCCCTTTTGAGCCGGGCCCATCGCCGGGGGTGTGGTGGTTGGAGGTCTGGTTGTTGAGGAACATCTTGTCCAGCCCCTTTAGCGCCTCGGTCAGGTAGTTCTGCAGGGCGGTCAGGGCGGCGCAGATGGCCGGGGAGCCGAAGCCGTGCGTGATGAAGCTGAAGTGGCTCAGGCAGCTCTGGATGCCCGGCTCCAGGATGGGTGTCGGCCGAGAGTTCCCCAATGGAGTGCGGTCCTGCGCCAACAGGTCTGTAAACTCCTTACACAGCTGCCTGGGAGTGGACGAGAGAGAAGCAGAGATATCAGTATCTCTCAATATGAGCACTCAACAATGGTCCAAGTATGATGACTAGACTGATAACCACACCATCACATTAAAGGACTCCTGCTTCATTTTACAGTGTGATACCCATTTGCTGCAACTGTATCATACAGCTGATTAGCACAGCAATCAAGTATTTGTGTGTAGCTAGAACAGCACAGAACACCCGTTGCCATGAAACTCACTCATAATAGAAGTCAATGGGCAGATGCTTCAGCGATTAGTGTGAAAAATGTGAAAAAATTCCCTGAACCCTTTGGCCTTAGTTCATAACACAGGCAACTATTCATGTCGAGTCTCTTTTGGAGTTTGAAGTAAGATAAATTTACTGATAAGTTTAAGATATGTTTTACATCTCACGTCATATTGGTAAACAGAAGGCCACCTAGAAGAGGAGCCTCCCAGCATTCTTAGCAGTGTGTTGATTTCTGTGAATTAGCTCTTATTTTTTATCAGGCATCTTTAAGTAAAGCTACTTTAGGCTTATAACATTTTCTTGATAAATAAATAAGGTGAGGTTTGGGGCAATGTATAGGTCAGTCTATATTACTTAACCCCTTGAATGGCCGACAGGCCCAACGTTTTATTACACACTTCTATAAACTAAGAATAGCTCAGCCAATAATAGAATAGAATATAAAGATAAACAATTGGTTGAGATCTGATCAACAAACAGGTGAGTCTGATTATTTTGTAGCCAATTGATCTGATCAGAAAAGATCAACTATATATATTATATAGATCAACTATATATAAAATTGCTCAACATATGTACTTCTATTCAGAAAGTTTTTAATGTAAACATCAACCAGTTTTGTTATGGAGATCAGAAGTCGTTAATTCTGTTCTCAGATGTGCACCAAAGTTCTTAAATCTGTTCATGTCCCTCAGAAGGTCCATGCGTGACACTTACGTGCAAAAACTGTTGCCTGAATTGAATCCAATCTGCTGCTAATCTCAGAAAAGTACTGATCTAATCTGAACTTTAGTTCATTTAGTGCTTGATGAGTAGTGATTAAGTTTTATAAACATAACATAAACATAAAACAAAGCAACATTTTCCAAGTAAACCCTACTTCAGAGCAGAAGTTATCCACCAATCTCATTTATGTGGTCTTGGTCTTCTACGCAAACACTACAAATTTGCAGTGTTACTGGCAGCCAGGTTCACTGTAATTTCTACTGTAATTTACAGTATTAAAAACACAGTAACTCCACAGTAGCTACAGCAATGCAGTAATACTGGGCCATGTTTGTTATAGCTAGAAAGTGCAAAACTATATTACAATACAACAATTTATAGACTTTGCCCTCCATGCTACAGGTGATGTTCACTCACTGGTGTGAATTACCACAGTATAACTAGTGCATTTCGCTGTTGTTGGAAGAAAACCTTTCTCCATTTTTTGTCGTTTTTTCAGTTTTTGACATAATTTGAAAATGCCTGTTACCCTTTACATTGTGTGTAAATTTAATGATAAAATGGCCCAAAGTGACTTGGAAAAAAGTCTGGTTCCATTGATTTACATTAAAAGTAAAGTATGTTTTTTCATTCTCCTGTAAAGTTATCATTTTGGAGATATGAGGTTTTCTTCGGACAACAGCGATTTGCATCTTTCATCGGGACCCAAACAGTAACACAAACACCCTCGCAACGCTGACCCTGACTTGAAGGGTTACACTCTACAAAAACCGCAACTGTGGTGCTACTCTCAACTACAACCTACTGATCCACTGACTCTTTCTATATAAACTGTCAGCCATACGTGACCCATATTAATCTACTTCATGCTCATTATGTCACTTCTCTGTAGTTTAAACTCTACATATCATTGCCCTCGCAAACAAAACCCTGTATCTCCAAAATGTTAGCTATAAAAATGTAAAGGAAGTTCATGTAATGAGATTTTGAGCATTTCTATTGGTCCATTCATCATGAAATTTTAACACAACATAAAAGTCAGAAAGAGTTTTCAAACTATGCAAAGATAAGAGAAAATAAGTCAACACATCCTCTACAGCGAACACACCTCTGCACATTTTAATGTGCAATTTAGCATATTAGTGAAGAATAAATATAAACACACATGATGTGCACAAAACTTGTGGTACATTTTATATTTTTTTAACATGTTAAACTCACCAAATAAACAGAAATTATGCAAGAAAATGTGCAGAAAAGGCCATATTTAAGCGTGTTTCCTGTAGAGAATGTGTTATTTTCACTTAGGAAATTAACAAAACATGTCATTTGACCAGAAAGGTCAAACTTTTGAAATGTACATTGTACTGTACATTCTATTATGTGCATGTATCGTCCTTTAACACTCTACATTCTCCACAAAGATGGTTCTTGAAGGGTTCTTTAGTAAAGACAGTGGTTCTATATGAAACCATGCACACTCAAAGAACCACTTACATGCTTAAAGGGTTCTTTGCATGGTGAGATGGTTCTTCAGACTCATTGAGAATGTCTCATATGTTTATATTTTATATAGAACCTTTTATAAAAGCACCAAAAGTATTTTTCTTGTTACAAGCTTGACATCGGCATAATAGTAGAACCCTTTTTGGTGCTATATAGAACCATAAACAACACACTCTCCATCAATCTGAAGAACCATTTCACCATGCACAGAACCCTTCAAGCATGCAAATATTTTTTGAGTGTTCATGGTTCTATATAGAAGCATTTTCTTTATTAAAAACCTTTGTAGAACCACGTTTTGAGTGTATGGTAACGCTGCATGATGATGTCTATTGAGAAAAGATATTTTAAAAATTTTTTGAATTAGTCAGCTGAATTGTTCTCAATGCAAGGCACTAGTAAGACATTTGCTAATATATGAGCGAGATAAACTGATTTTTAATATTTACATTGCCTCAGTGGTGAAGTATAAACATGTATAAATGTAGGGATTGGTGAGCATCAAAAATACAGCTTTAAAATATCTTTGAATGTGAATGAAGCCAGATTTTAAAATTATTTCCAATGAAGCAGAGACGAAATGTTCCTTAGAGTTTTTCACCTAACGTAACGTAACAGAGGTTTATATAATAAGTTACCAATTAAAATATTGCAGAAAAGCCATATTTAGGCATTGCCATTCTGAACAACATCCTTACATACAGACCACCAAGCTATTACTCTGTAACATAATTATTAATTTGTCATTAATTGCTACCCATGTTTTGGTACTTCATAAAAAAGGTATCACTTTATTTTAAGGAAACACATCACAGAACAAATCTGTTTGACAACTAAAATACTAATAAATAGGAATTCCATTTGTGATTAAACTTGCAAATGAGATTAATATCCATTTACTAATGACTAAAACTGTACTTTAGAACATGGTGCACCTTTTGAAGACTTATTTAACTTATTAAACTCTAAAGCACATTAGAAGTCACCTGACACTATCCAGAACCAATAGGAATCAGATGTGGTGAAATGTAAAGATTTAAAATATTTAAATGATAATCCATATTCAATAGTTTGCAAAATAATGTCTTAAAGTGTTCATTAAGCAACTAATATGCATTAATCATAATGGATAAAGTTCAATACATAGTAAAAAAACCATTGAGCAATGTCTTTATAATCTCCCCAGTATGTGTTCCTTAAAATAGCATTACCAAAAATGGTTTAACAACAAGTTCATCTTGATAGAAACACATTGCTGCTGTCGGAACAAAAGCACATATCTCCAAAATGGTAACTTTACAGGAGAAGGAAAAAAACATAGTCTAGTTCTAATGTAAGTCAATGGAACCAGACTTTTTCCCAAGCAATTTTGGGACATTTCTTTTGGTCCGTTCATCATGAAATTTACACAAAATGTAAAGAGCAACAGGCATTTTCAAATTATGTAAAAAACTGAAAAACGTCAAAAATGGAGATACAAGGTTTTGTTTCTGACAGCAGAGATATAAAATGATATGCAACACGATGATCAACAATCAGAACCTAGTAAAACAACAAGCCCCCATTTCTTTAGCACCAGTTAAACTCACAAAACAAGAGTATTTTTGATCTTTCATACTTTCTGACACAAGTCCAGGAATAATAATCTGGAATGTATGAAAAACACTGGAGGATGACCGTTGCATCACTAAAACAACAGCCGAAACGCAAACACGGGTGCAGTGCCGGGTGGATCGCATTTTATGGGAAAACATTTCCTTTTACTAGTCACTCTTAGAAGACGATGGTGCTAGCAGGAAGCCTGTGTTCCCTTTTCTGAGAACTCTAAGCATTTCACAAATACGTTTGATTGGCACTGAGTTGAACTGCCTTTTAAATAATGTGTGAAAATGGTGATAACATGGTTCATAAAGGCCACTAAAAAGGGGTTCCTTAGAGCAACACCATAGAAGAACCACTTGGGTCCCTAAACAACCTTTTAAAGGACCATTAACTGTCATCCAACCATTATTTTTAAGAGTGTAATGAACTTCTACAACCCATCCAGTTCTCAAACCATTACAAGGGATCCTTTATTCCTGATTGGAGCCTTCCTGGTCTCCAAATTAGACATCTGGATCTGCTACCATTCCGCTAATACGTTTCACTCTGGAACTAACGCACTGGAATCCGACTGGTGGTGCAGCAGAGTGGTGCAGTGTTATCCAAAGGGGTTTGACTGATTACCCCAATATCCCACCTCCTGTTTAACACTGCAGCGTAATTGTTAAACTAATACAGCTATTAGTAACAGCATTCGAGTCACAGAGGCGTAGTTACAGGCATTGTAGCACAATACATAATGGAACAGATTTGTTTAGTAATTTGCATCCTGCATTCTGCTACACAATGTTTCAGCTTATCTTAGCGCCACGTTCTTTTCCGAAATGGGTGGACAGATGAGAGGTAGCAGATCAGTGCAACACTGCAATCCCGAAATCAAGTAAACCTAACCAATCATAGCCTCTATCTGAATGTCCTAAAAAGATGGACGGTTCTTCAAAGGGTCTTGAGTAAAGACAATGGTTCTATATAAAACCATGATCACTCAAAATACATTTGCATGTCTAAAAGTCCCTTTGCATGGTGAAATGGAGAGACTGATGGAGAATGTGTTGCATATGGTTCTAGAACCAAAAAAGGTTCTTCTATTGTTACAAGTTTGACATTGTAGCAGTAACAGTGGTAGAACCCTTTTTGGTGCTATGTAGAACCATTAAAAAAACAAAAAAACATGTGCAACACATTCTCCATCAATCTCTCAATTTCATCTTTGTGAAAATGGTTCTACCTAGCACCAAAAAGGGTTCTCCTATCACTATGATGTCAAGCTTGTAACAATAGCAGAAACCATTTCGGTGATATATAGAACCGTATACAACACATTCCCCAACAATCTGAACATTGTTGCGAACAAAGAACCATTTAAGCACGCAAAGGGTTCTTTGAGTGTTCATGGTTCCATATAGAACCATTGTCTTTACCAAAGAACCCTTTGCTTGTAACAATATCAGAAGCCTTTTTGGTGCTATATAGAACCGTATACAACACATTCCCAAGCAAAGAACTATTTAAGCATGCAAAGGGTTCTTTGGTAAAGACAATGGTTCTATATGGAACCATGAACACCCAAAGAACCCTTTGCAGGCTTAAATGTGTTTTTGAGTCTTTATGGTTCTATATAGAACAATTGTCTTTACTAAAGAACCTTTGAAGCACCATCTTTTTAAGAGTGTAGAGGACAGTCAAACACATTCATTGAGTTGGTCTAAGCTACAATCAACCATGACTTTACTGACGTAACAACCAAGGAGCTGTTGGAGAACTGTTCTATTCAACCAAACCAGCGGAACACCAAGCTAGGCACAAAAACATGTTCAATTCAACTGGGTTCTATTCTGTTCTCTAAATCCAAACACCAAGGCTGCCCACTCTTCTGTCAAAAGAACATCATAGTTTCAACATCTTCCAAGCTAATCTCAAAACATAGCTCTTTCTCATGATCCTAGATTGAAGAGAATCATTTCCGAATCAAATTTCGTGAATTGAAAGTGTTTTGTTGGATGTTAAACTTCAGCTTTGAAGCACTTAAGTCCAGCTTTAGCTTTCAAGCAACTCTAAAACAATTTACAAGCTACTTTAGCTTGAAATTAAACTGTGCTTTTCAATACATCAATGACTGTTGACGTCTTAAGATTCTTACTAGAACTATTAGACCGAAACCAAATGTATCATATCAGGCCAATTGGAACTTTCACTTCTTATTAGCCATGTTAGCATTTTCTTCTACTCTGTTTTTGACAAGTGGAAGTGAGGCCTAATACATTTGTCTGAAGGTATATCGTTGATTACTTAGCACGCCTGGCGCGCTATGCTATACTGTCCGTGTAGCCAAGTCAGAACCAATGAAGTCATCAAACTATTACTGAGCAAGTCTCTGTATTTAAGTGCTATGAAGTTGTGAAGTCTCAGATCGAGTGAGTTATTTTCTCTCTGATCTGCTACATATTCATGCCCACCGTGCCGTTGGGGGGCCTCGGAGGGAAAGCAAGAGAAAGTTCCAGCACTGGGTCTGAACAGCATCACCCCTGCCATGACCTCTCAACATCTGACCTCTCCATGTTCTCCACGACTGTCTGCTAACAATTTAAACATCCTTCTCGCAGTCGAGCCTGTAACGATTGCATCTGCCACAGATTCCCAGTCTACCCAGACACGAAAAATCATTAACCTGCGGGGTTAAAGTAATTTAAAGTCGATTAATTATGACGCTCATAGTCATCTTAATTCATCCAAAAAACGGCGATGAACGATAAGGAATGAACAGAGTTGGAAAAATCCTTATCTACATAATGAAAAAGCATGATAGGAAGCGTGTTATCATGTTTGCTAGGATTTGTCCAGTGAATTATTTGGAAGAAATATTCTCAGTAAACTCTTAAAAATAGTGATTACTAACACATAATGAAATTGTTGGGATGTAAAGAGTCGTTCAGAAGGTTTTGATGGGAAATAGTCACAGTGGTGGTGATGGGAACTAGACGTCTGCCTCTGAAAGCTCCCTTACAGAAAGTTATTGCACAAAATGGTTTACTCTGTCTAATGCCTGAAACGATAGTCGTGAGATAAGATTTTGCACTAAAATTTATTTCATAAAGCACATTCATGGTAGAGAGGTACATGAAGGGTGCTGTATAGCAAATAGTCCACAAAGAAAACTTTTATTTGTGTTTTTATTTAGATTTCCCAACATACACTCTCAGAATTAAAGGTACTAGAATGCCACTGGGGCAGTACCCCTAATGTCAATGGGGTGGGACCCTCAAGGGTCCATCTCAGGACCTTTAGTCAGGGAACATAACTGTACCATAATCCACTGAAATGATATGTTTTAAGCTGTACTGACTCCACACACCCCGTCTCGTCTCCAGGCTTTTATTTTACTGTTCTGTTTTAAATCATTCGGTTATGAAAAGATACAAATATTTACTTTTCACCTCTTTAAGGTTCACAACTGGACCTTAAAACCACTGTTGTACCTTTGAGGGAACATTTACACTGTTTGTACCTTGATGAATGAAAAATGTACCTGCACAGAACCTTTATGTCTAACAATGTAAGCATATATAAATCATATGTGGAGGTTCACTGGTGGTTTTGTATAAGTAAATAAAATGGCTACATTTGTGTTGTTGGACATGATGACCCCCTGGTTCCAACCGTAAAGAATTTGGTAGGACAGTTTCTCTAGACTTTCACATCAAACCACTCAGAATAGCTTTTTGAACATTTAACTGGCTCCCAATCTTCACATCATCTAAAGGATTCACCACACTGGCACATCTCAATCGCAAAATTAAAAAGGTTCTCCAAGGAGGTTCTACCACGTTCCCCCTTTTGGCATCTTTGTTTAGAAGAATGTGTCTGAAAAAGGTCATTTGTGACAGTATGTTTGAAATGTAACAACAGCAGCAACAACGACAACAACACTCTGACCCACATTCGAGCCTCAGAACCACCAACAGCCTCGTTGTCCATTCTCTCCGCTCATTCCAGAGCGCTCTAATGCCCCAGGGCGCGTGCAGGGGGTTGGGGTTGGGGTGGTAGTGGTGGTGGGTTTGGGAGCGGGGGGGGGTGACTGACGGGACTTTGACAGACAGACTGTGAAAGGGGAGGCGAGGGAGGGAGGAAGGGAGGGATGATGACCCCCGGGGGCAAAACTTCAAGGGGAAAGCTGGCAGTTTTAGACTCGAAACATTTCACTTAAACGTAATGAGTTTCTCGCGCGGTGCCAGCCTGAGATGGATAAGGGCTCAGCTCCCCACTGCCTCATTAGAAACCAGCTTAACGTGTCAAAGAAGCCGAGAATCCGTGATGGATATAAGAGATTTCTCAACATGTAGCTAAACATTTGCTCACAGGCGTAGACGGGTCATGCGTGCGCGTGATCCGCAGCCCAGGATTTCGTTAAAATAAGGAAAAAGAGTGGAGAAAAATGGCACAAGCGCTTGGAAATGAATGAAGGGTGTGGTACGTACTTGGTGGCGAGCAGCATGTTTTTTCTCGAGTGGATCTCGTTGGGGTCTGTGTGCTGTCTGTTGAGGTACTCGGACACGGCCTTGGTGGGAAATTCGGTCTCGCAGATGTAGCCGAAATCCCGCGCTAAATGAACGGCCTCCCCTGGTAAAACAAAAAAAAAGAAACACGTTAGTATTGAATGTGTTGGTGATCAATATGAACAACGTCCCCTAATCTGATGTATATTATTTGGAATAAGACTAAATGTAGACAATGGCTGACAAATACGATCACTTTAAGCAAAAAAAATGGTTCTATATATTAGAACTGAAAATCGATTATTTGATTCGTAAGAATATTTTTGTTAATAAAATTTTATTTGTTTCTTTTTATTGCAATGTCGAGCCATTTTAAAGGCTTCTTTTAAGAACCGTAGACATCGTACTGGCGCTGTGCATTAACCATACAAATCACAGTCTATGCTTTCAAACGTTTCTTTGAGCGTTCTTGGTTCTATGGTTACTAAAGAACCACTTTTCTAACACTGTATTACCACAAAAACGTTCTTTTGGTGCTATATAGAAGAGCACCACATACAGTTGGTTTTCCATCTCTAAGAAGAACCATTCAATCGTGTGAAGAACCATGTATGTGCTCCAGCCGCTTGACAACCACAATAAGAAGAGAATGTCAAATTGGACAAAATGTAAAATTTACGTCAAACAAAGAATAAAAAATTCAAAATTCAAGAAAAATCTAGAAGCACGATATTTATTTATGAGTTTATTTGGCATCATCACTGGGTCTCTGTTCACAGCAGGCTGTCTATGTAAAAAAAGGAGGTCACCCAAAATTAAAGAGCAGATTGTCACAGTATCAGATGAATTTCAGATGCGCAGTGATATCGGATTAAAGAGCCGGGAAGAAAGAGTGAATGTGTTCGGTTATTTTTATTATTTTTATTATTTATTTATTTATTTATTTATTTATTTATTTATTTATTTTATGCGAGGCTCGAAGGCCACGATTATTTTTGTTAGGTTGTGTCAGTAACTCTACGCGACTCTGAGCCGGGGGGTGGCTGTGTGGGGGGTGCAGAGGAAGGATTTTGTAAACAAGAGAATGAACATCAGATGGGCTGCTTTTCTTTTTTAGTGTTTTTTTTTACGTTTTTTTTTTCTCCTACCTTCCACCAATGACGTCAGCAGAGTGACGTTGGCCGCCTTGCGTCTCCCCGCGGGCAAATTCAGCCCGATTTTTTCCAGCTTTTCTCTCAGAGATCTGCCTCCATTTTTCGACTTCGCCCTGGAAACAAAATGGACACTTTTGTCTGGGAGAGGTCCACTCAGAGGACACTGACATGAAAAGGGTATACAAGCAAAGCACATCTCTCTCTCTCTCTCTCACATCTCTCTCTCTCTCTCTCTCTGTCTCTGTATATATATATATATATATTTAAGTCATTTAAGTATGGGCAATTCATATATAATTAATATTTGTCACTAACTAATATATAATATATGACAATATACAAAGCATCTATATACATGTGTAACTTTATCACATCATATATATATATATATATATATATATATATATATATATATATATATATATATATATCATTACATGTATGTATATTTAATATATCTATTATTTTATACCTATATATCTTGTCTGTATATACCCATATATAGAGACTCCTCTTGCTAGTGTAGTTAGAGACTGTAACTCATCTGTTTAATGCACTGTTTGTGCTGCCCATCCTCTAGTCCTCCATCAGTGGTCAGTTTCTGACCACGGAGCCTCTCTTGCCTGGACATTTTTGGGTGCTGGTCCACTCTCAGCCTAACCTGCTGTGCGTAAAAACCACAGCAACACTCATACACTCGTACCAGCACCACACACACCATGTCAGTGTCACTGCTGTGCTGAGGATGGACAATCACCCAAATAATATCTGAAACGCAGCGGTCCTGTGGTCAGAAACTGACCAGTGATGAATGGAGTAGAAGGGGGCTGATAAATTGTGCAGGAATCAGATGGACTGCATCTGTATAGTGGAGCTGTAAGGCAGGTGGAGCTCATGAAGTGGACAATGGTGGGGAGTGAGCAGCTGAGAAAATGAGCTTTAAAATGCTGCTTATCTGGGCAGGAAGTGTTCATTTGCTCACTAATATTAAAATAAATACAAGTAAGATTAATACAACATTCACCCATGTCCAAACCTCTCTTTGAGGAAGCCAAGCACTGGCTGTAGTTAGAATCCAATACTGGTTGAATTAAGTGGGGATGGAATTTAACAACTTGATTGACAGAATTAAACAAATCTGAATTTAGATCACTACTTTTTTGATCTCAAGAAATACTTATGACGTTCTACTGTATTTATGTACATTTCCATCTACTCTAATGGTATATGGTGTTTTCAGACGCAGAAACACAATTATGGCCCAGATAAAGTTTTAAATAATGTGCCAAGACTTTTGCGCAGTGTGTATTTATACAATAGTCAGCTCAGCTTATGGACAGTTTATCATTTTATAAAAAGGTGATGGTACATAAGCTGTGTTTTACTCTGGCCTTGATGTTTTGGGACAGTTTTGGTGATTTCATTCTGACCCCTGCCCTGGCTGAAAGATGCTTGAACGGATGGATGGATGGATGGATGGATGTATAGGGGGCCTAGGGTTGGCTCACCTGCGCAGCACGCCCCCCAGCAGCGAGGCGTTGAGGCACTCTGGGGGCGAGAGGCGCCGCTGAACTTCTCCCACCGTCACTTTGTACTTGGAGGTGGAGCTGAGCAGCGACAGGCGGCCGGGAACCGAGCAGAACACCTCGTTCACATTCAAGGCGACTCCGCCGATCAGCCCGTCCTTACTCATCATCAGAGAGGCCACGCTCTTATGCGGCATCGGCACTGAAAAGCGCACGAGACACAGAACCGCTGAAAAACGGCAACACGCCTTTCTATACATTAATAAGACACATTTACATTTATCTCACCACACTCTTTAAAAAGACGGTTCTTCAAGCTTTTTTTAAGAAAAAGGAACGGTTCTGTTTAGAACCATGAGTGCATAGAACTATTTGCGTGCCTAAATGGTTCTTTGCATGGTGAAATTGCACCTTGTCGAAAATTGTTCTATATAGAACCAAAATGGTTCTTCTATTGTTAGAAGCACAATAGAAGAACCCCTTCTGGTGCTATACAGAACCATTTAAAACACATTCTCTATCAATCTGAAGAACCATTTTACCACGCAAAGAACCGTTTAAGCAAGAAAAGGTTCTATATGGAACTATAGACACTAAAGAACCCTTATAGAACAATTTTAAGAGTATTATTATTATTATTATTATTATTATTATTATTTAGTGCTGTATATATAAGCTTTATTTGGATTTTAACCAGAACTTCTGCGTTATATTTTGAAGAACACTGACGTCGTATATTCTGCAATAAATCAAAAGCGCGCGCTCGCCGATATGGCGGTTTCAGTAAGTACCTGCACGCGCACATGCGCTGACTTTACGTCGCAGTTTTGCGGCGCGTGCTCCGCTTTGTCCAGTGCCGTGCACGAGGCGAAAATGAAACAAATAAACAAGCAAACACACACAACTGTCTCACGCACCAGCTGCGCGCGCCACTGTACAGTCCGGATTCATAAACAAGTGCGAAGCGCAAGTTCACGCGGTCATCTCGCTCATTGCTTCACGTGTGTGCCGCGCGTTAAAGCTGCTACATGCAGCAGCGCACGTTACACACTCTTTACATCCGAGCATCTCGCGCTTAATCTCATGCAATCTCTCAGAATTTCCGCGCGCGCTTGGGACCCGTGAACTTCCCAGTTTAAAAACACAGAAAGAAACTCGCGCCACATTCTACTTTTACTGTCTCGTGTTATCGATTTTCTGATTGACTCGCGCCTATGGTCACACAGCGCGCGCTCCCAGCCGTCAAACGACGTCTCGTAATGCGCTAATGGGGTGTAAGGGGTGCGCGAGAGCACAGTGGGGGGTATGTGTGTGCGTGTGTGTGTGTGTGGGGGGGGGCTAATAAGGGCAAATGAGCTCCAAACGAGCTCACGAGACGCTGAAAGCCAATCCATCACAGCGGCCACTTACAGCAGCTCCGCTGGGACGCGCGCGCCACAGTTAACTAGATTACCGGAGAAACGACTCGCGCGCACGGGCAAATATTAACACGAACTCAGGGAGCTGCACGAGCGATTACTGAGGGAAAAAAGTATAGTATATAAAGATGGGCTATAGAAAATAAACAAATAAATAAACAAACAGAACCTTGTTGAATGCAAAATTAAAGTTCGATTATTATTATTATTATTATTATTATTATTATTATTAGTATTAGTATTAGTATTAGTATTTTTATTAGTATTATTTTGTTGTTGTTGTTGCTACAACCAACGTTCTTATAAAATATTTTTGTTTTCTTGTTTTAAAAAAATATATATTTTTATTGCATTGTTTATTATTTATTTAACAAATTATTTTTATTATTTTTTAAAATCCACCCTGTTTCACCTGAATGCATAGACTAACCGAGCCAAATAAAGCACCTACAGTAAATAACACCACCACCAGCAGCAACAACAACAACAACACTATCATCATCCTTATGAATAAAACCAACAGCAATAATAACAACAATAACAATAAGAACAGTATTAATAATGACCGGATAAGATTAGAAGTGTGTGGCAGGTAAGTCACGCTTTCTGAGGCACCTGCACAGGTGTGGATGACCTCATTTGCATATCAAATCGAGCCAAACCCCTGAAGGTTCCTCTTTTTTGGCGCATGCGTGATAGACACCTGTCCTAAGGTCAGTAACAGCGACCTGACGGCCTAAAGTCGGACATTAAACACTGAATACCGGCCAGTGTTTCTGGATCCAGCCTAACAATACAGTACAATACAAAGAAAAGACGATAAACACACAACAAAGCATGTTTTCTCCCTTTATAGTTTACCTTTTTTAATAACTGACTGGTCCAGGATGCTCATGCCACTGTTGTTGGCGTCTTCCACAACCTGTAATAGCGCAATATAAACAAGAATCAGCACAGAATCTAAAAATATAATGCATAAAAATGAAGCACAGTGTTATAAAAGTTAGTATAAACAACATAATATGACTCAAATCAATAGGAAACTCAACTATCATTGAAACATGTGTATAAATGATGCAATGCAATTGAAAAATATCACTTAAATCCGCTTAAAAATGCAGTTTGTCTCTTTATCTGCCACTCAGAGACGCTCCAACATCTCAATTGGTCTCACTGTCAGCTAGAAAGACTCCAATCGAACTTCTTCAACACGCGTGAAAACAAACGGAAGCCAAAAAGACAAACCAGAGCAGAGAGATTGAGGGATACATTACAAAAGCAGAGCAGCGTGTAAACACCAGCGTTAGCGCTGCTGGATTTCAGAGAGGTTTACTGGCTAAGCTACACCAGCAGAGCTGGACACACCAACTTGCTGAAAATGGACCATTAGATGGATCATGATTTGCTGTCTAATGGAAATTGGCTTCCATTAGAGACATGGTTTCCTGTAGAACACCTTTAGATCCCATTGCATTGTGATATCAACCCATTACAAGCCAAACAAACATTACAAAACTATCAGGAACCGACAAAAACACTTGGTTTATACGGGTTGTTTCAGCTGGATTGGACAGTTCAGCAGCTGAAGGATTGATAGCTGCTCATGGGCTTAATCTCAAAGACCGAGGATTTTCTTGACCTGGACTTTCATGTTCTAGATCATATCCGCCTTAGTTAGTGGTGAACACGGTGCTTCATTATGACAGATAGTCCACGAAGGTCAAATCACGAGCTAAACAGCACTAATGACGTTTATGGTCAGATTATTATTAAACGCTGAGGATATTTATGTACGTTTCTATAATGCGTGTGAAAGATGGTTCTTCAAGGGCTCCTTAGTAAAGACAGTGGGTCTGTATAGAACCATGAACTCTCAAAGAACCCCATATATGGTTCTATATAACACCAAAAAGGGTTATTCTATTGTTGCAAGCTTGACATAATAACAATAGCAGAACCCCTTTTGTTGCTGTGTAGAACCATTTGCAAAAAAGGTTCTATATACAGCCATTTGATTGAGAATGTGTTGCATATGGTTTTATACAGAAGCAAAAAGGATGCTATTATTTCTACGATGTCAAGCTTGTAGCAATACCAGAACCATTTTATGGTGCTATAAAGAACCCTTTTTAGAAAGGTTCTACATACACATTCTCCATCAATCTGAAGAACCATTCCACCCTGCAAAGAATCATTTAAGCACGCAAATGGCTCTTTAAGTGTTCATTGTTCTATATAGAACCATTGTCTTTGCTAAAGAACCATTAAAGAACCACATTTTTAAGAGTGTATGTGTTGAACTGTTATTTAGACTGACGTAAAGCAAATGCCTCAAAGCGTTCTGCGTTCAAATAAATGGCTGAATTGTTCTCGAGGTTCTAATGCATCATCCCAAAATGAGCCCCTTAAACCCCCCTCCCCCAATTTAATGTGGAATAATGATGATTAATGAGAGATTAAAATCAAATGAAAGGCCTAAATAATCTGTAATTGATGAATTATACAGTTTCTATGACCTCGAGTGTTTTTAAACCTTTAAATCAACGTTGCACTATTACAAAATAAGAGTTTGAGAGGGTTATATCTCTGATACGAAGCAAATCAATATAATAATACAAAAAGAACATAAAACGTATCGATTATACGTATCAATATAAATTAATATAGATAAAGTTTAATATAAACTAATTAATATAGATAATAGTTTAAAATTTGCAGAATCGCCAAGGCAGGAAAAATATAAGTAAAAAATAATTAAAACTGATTATATATTATTTTTAAAAAGCGCAAAAATACAAACAAACAAAATATATCTGATTATAGCTGATTACGTATAATATAGAAAAGGTACAACATATAATAACAGAAAAAATATATAAGCAAAAAAGCAGAATAAAAGTTTGATGGCTTTACAGAAAAAAAAATAAATAATAACAAAAATATATAGAAAATAAAAACTGCCCCCAAAAAGAGAGAGAACTCTCATCATTTCTCAACTTAGAGGAAAGAGACCCGAGCGTGACTCACGTGCGCGTCGTCCATGCCGTGCGCGAGCCCGTGCAGCAGCCCGTCGCCCATCCCCGCTTCCAGCGCGTGCGGCGCCGAGTGCAGCAGCACGTCCGGTCTGCGCACGGCGCTGTAGTCCCTGCGCGGGTCGAGCCCGGACAGCTGCGGCAGCGCCGCGCGGGGCTGCGCGAGCAGGGAGCCACCGCTGCCGGCCTCGGCGCCGCCGCCGTCCTGCCGCTGGCGCGAGGAGCCCCACGGGTGCTGCTGGTGCGGCTGGTGCAGCGCGTTCAGCGCATACGGGTCGTTCACGTGCGAGTAGGGGTCCTGGCCCTGGTGGTAGGGCGGGAGCGGCTGGTAGGGCGGCGGGAAGTACGGCGGCTGGAAGTCCGAGGAGGGCGCGTGGGAGAGCGGCGGCGCGCTCGAGTAGGGCCCCTGAGACACCGAGCCCAGCTGGGACAGGCGCGAGCTGTGGCCCGGGACCCCGTCATGACGGTCCTGTACAGGGAAACAAAAACAGTAATAATAATGATAATAATAATAATAATAACAATAATAAAGATAATAATAATATATCTAATTTCTTACAGTAAAAAATAAATCAGCCAATTAAAAATGCATCTTCGTTGACAAAAGTTGGGGTAAAATATTACAAAAAAAAATAATAAATAATCCAGTTATATATTTTGAAGACAAAATATAATAATGACAATTTTAAAAAGAATGAATGCAAGCAAGTCCTTGGAAATAAGTAAAAATAAAACAAATTAAAATAACAACAAAAAAAAAAAATAAACGCTTCACATGTAAATAACTTATTTACTTATTTTAATATATATAAGATAATATAGCACAAATATTGTAGCGCAAAATGACAGAATGTGCTTTTTTCCTTTTTTTTTTCTTTTACTAAATATATTTTTTTTCTTTTTTTTTAACTTAGATTTGTTTTTAAATATTATAGAAACTTCTACACGAACCAACAACAAACCCTGGAGTTTGTTGTACTTTAGGCTGAAAATTCTTGGAAACACTCAGAAAAACACGTTTCGAAATAAGTAATGAGAAAAACACAGTAACGAGCTTCAACGCAGAAGAGGAGCCGCGTAAAGAGTCCAAACAAGTTTCTCAGCTTTTATCAAGACAACCGACCCGCCCGTCAAACTCAGAGCGACCCTCACAGGAGTTTAGATAGAAGTGTGATAAGTGGATTTTAGGAGCGCGATTATTTGAGCGTTAGTTCGTCTGCGTGAAGCTCAAACTGGGTCAGAAAAGCTGAGGAGGAGATGGTGGAGATGGTGGAGATGTTCCCAGGCAAAATATCCTTAGGCAGAATAGGATAATACAGAGTGGAGAGCAGGGAGGGGCGGCTGCTGAGCTCATCTGAAAGCAGACCCCGTTTTGAGGGGAGCGGAAAGACCAGAGCGGTCAAACAAAACAAAACACGACACAAAACAAAACAGTTTAAAAAGTCTTTGCGTTAAAGCGCAACAGCAAAGCGGGCGGAAGCGCGAGGCTGAGCGATTAGCCGGACTTACCGTGGCTGAGTAAGTGTGGACTAACATCTGGACTAGAGTCTGCTCGCCAACACACACACGCACACACGCACGCACACGCGCGCGCACGCACTCGTACACACAGAGCTCGGGAAGACGAGCGGGAGCGCCTGCAGATGTTGCTCTCTCTCCGGCTGCTCGCAGCTAACTCCTCATGGCCCTCTGTCTTTCAGCGCCGCGCGCTCTCTCTTTCTCTGCCCGAGTGCTGCGCGTGCCGTCCCGCCTGCCCTGCCCCGTCTACTTGCCCCCCCCTCCCAACCCCCAAAGTTACCCCTCCACCCCTCCGCGTGCTGCTGCTACACCTCCTCGGAGTGATTGTTATTCATGACTCCTAATATCGCTGCAGTGCTTAAAGAGACGCGCACGAGGAACGGCGCGCGCAGGCAGCCAGAGAGAGAGAGAGAGAGAGAGAGAGAGAGAGAGAGAGAGAAGGGAGGAGGAGCGAGAGAGAGAGTCAACAGGGAAGCACGCGCGGTCACTGATGCCCTTTTTTTATACACCCCCGCGAGGACTCCCTCTGTGACTCTCTCTCTCTCTCTCTCTCTCTCTCTCTCTTTCTGGGATCTGGACTTTCCTCTCTTTGCCCCATTGCCCATTGTTGTCCTATGGTGTTATTGTTGCGCGTGCGAACGCACCTCATTTATCTGCCCCCCGCTGGAGTAAAAGAGTCAGCAGCTGGGGCAGAACACCCCCCCCCACCCCAACACACACACACACACACACACACACCAGTAGTGCCCTAATACACCCTTTACACACACACACACACACACACTCTAACATGCATACACACACCTGTTCCCACACTACACACACCCACCAACTCTATACACACCGGTGCCACCTGCATGAAGCCGGGGCAGAGTTAGTGTTCAGTTAGTATTGGGACAGGTGTTTATGTTTGTAGTGTTTGTAGCTATTTAGCCTTATGACGAGTGTATATGGCAATTTTGTGTTAGGATTTATAAATGTACACCGGTCCCAACAGCTTCAATCACCTGTCTGATCATATACTGATCATAAACACCTGTCCTAACACCGCATACAGCAGCCCCAACACCATGTACACCTGTTTGATCTATACTAATTATATACATTTGTCCCAACACCATATACACCTGCCCCAACACCATAAACATCTGTCCTAACACCATATGCACCTAACACCATATAAACCTAACCCAACACCATAAACACTTGTCCCAACACCATGAACACTTGTCTTAACCCCATATACACCCGCCTCAACACTATAAACATCTGTCCTAACACCATATAGACCTGTCTCCACACTAACAGCACTTGTCCCAACACCATATACACCTTTCCCAACACCATAAACACTTGTCCCAACACCGTATACACCTGGCCCAACACCATAAACATCTGTCCTAACACCATATACACCTGTCACAAACCATAAACACTTGTCCCAACACCATAGACACCTGCCATAACATCATATACACTTGTCCCAACACCATATACACCTGCCCCAACATCATAAACACTTGTCCCAACACCATATACATCTGCCCCAACACCATATACACCAGCCATAACACCATAAACACTTGTCCCAACACCATATACACCTGCCCCAACACCATAAACACTTGTCCCAACACCATATACACCTGCCCCAACACCATAAACACTTGTCCCAACACCATATACACCAGCCCCAACACCATATACACCTGCCATAACACCATAAACACTTGTCCCAACAGTATATACACCTGCCTCGGCACCATAAACACTTGTCCCAACACCATATACACCAGCCCCAACACCATATACACCTGCCATAACACCATAAGCACTTCTTCCAACACTGTATACACCAGCCCCAACACCATACACACCCACCTCAGCATAAACATATACCTGTTCCAATACCAACCAACACCAGGTATGTGTTTATACACACCTGGGTCAATTTAACCACATATAAATATACCCCTATTTCATCATACATTAATCAAATACATGTTTGCAAATATACATTACCATTCCAAATATACATCTGATCATACATTAACAATTTCCCAACACCATATACAAGTCACAATACCATGTCACAACACCTGTCCCAACATTATACACACAACACTACATACACCCATCTCAACACTATACACAACTGTACCATTACCATATGTACCTGTCCCAACTCTAAAATCAGCTGTCTGAACACAATGCCAAAGCTAACACGATCACGTCCGCTCATTTTAACACGATTACTGTTTACTTGCTGAATTGTGGCCTGTGCAAAAGTTACGGCACATTATATATTTAATAATAATACACATTATGTATACTTTTTTCCCAGTATGTTCACTTTAGCAAATAAACAGAAATTGTGCACTAAAATCTCGGAACAGGACTGTTCAGACCTTTACATGCTCCTCTATCTCCTCTGTCTCAGAACATATATGAAAGCGCCCTCATTTCCAGCTCGGGCACTGCGCTTCAAACAAGATCTGCTCAAACAGACATGAGCTTTTATGTTAATACGTTGGTGTTAATGCAGTATCAGCAGTGCTGAGTGAACATCTGCAGGGCCATGTTTGGGTAACGCGCGCCGAGCTGGACATGAATGAATCACTGCGAGAGTGAATCCACCGCGCGCACCGTAGTCTTCACACACGAGCCCATGTGAACGGTCCTGAAATAATCTCGAGCTCAGTGTGCTTTACGCTTGGCCCGGTGCCAGTGACGGTAACGTTTACAATATTTAAAATGTGTAAAAGCCCCCTATTGTTGCCCTCCCCCTCCACACCTACCCTCTTATAAATCAGCCCGTATTATGGGCGATTTCACGCGCCCGGGTCGAAGTGTTTAATTAGCCCGGGGGTCACGAGGGCTGTGAGAGAAAAGCCATGTGTGTCTCGCGAGGGCGACGTCCCGTCCCGCGAGGGCCTTTACACATGCACGCACACACACACACACACATGCACGCACACACACACATCGCGGCTCTCGCGCGCAGCCCGAGTTCTGCTCCAGCTCAGATCAGAAGAGTCACCGAGCGCGCGCTGATTTCTTCAGCCTTTTTCGTATTACAAAAATGGTACAGCGCACACGTGCGTTTCGATATACATATAAAAATGCATATTTAACGCATAAAGGTGTAAAAACTTCTAGTGCTTAAATTACTTAATAATAAGCACGTAGCTTAATGATAACTTAATTATGATAATAAATAAAAAAATACAATTAAATAAAATGAAGAATAAAGCCATTTACAGCATGACTGCGTATTATTTATGTGCATAAAATACGCTTTTCATTTTTTTGTATATTTCTAGGCGCTCGAAATTTAAGAAAAAGGTAAGATGATTCTTCTATTCAGCCAATCAGATTAGATCAAAAAAAAATCTAAAGTGACTAAACGGTATAAGAAACACGATCAGCATTCGAATTAACCTCTATTGATCTGAAATGTCTGTTTCTGACGCTCCCATATTCTCTAAATATGCACAAAAATGAGATATTTAAAAAAATATTAATTGCCTAAAACATTTGCTTCAAAAATTTGAAATTTGAGACTAAATTTCTAAAAACGCCTCGATGAAATTCTCCACTGCTAAAACTCCACCGCACCGTGCACACTTCCCTCATAATATACTTCAAAACCAAAAACAGTGAAGTACAGTCAGATCAGTCTGTTTGAAATTTTAGAAATAATCGCAATAATTTGAAATAAAACTTCAGTAATTAGTAAAGTGTAAAATAATCTCTAATCCGTTTCTCTCACCGAGTCACTCCTTAATCCTCCACTGCTCTAAATGCACCGCTTATTTTTTGTATAAAGTCTGCCCAGACTGGACCCTGCTGCGGTTATCCAGTGCTAAATGCCCTGTCGCCCCCCTGCACAGCCCCCTCCTGCCCCCCTGCCCCGCTGCCCTGCTGCCCCGCCGCGCATTTACCTCATAAATGTCTTCATACTTCACATTTTCCACGAGTTTCCACAGCATGTTCACGCGCTGCTCCCCGCACGGCGAGTGCATTCATGTGAGGAGTGGAGGGCTCAACTCTCTCTCTCTCTCTGCCCCCCCTCTCTCTCTCTCTCTCTCTCTTTCTCTCTCTCTCTCTCTCTCTCTCTCACGTAAAGCTCACAGAAGAATCATCCGTGGATCTGCTGTGATTCCCTCGCGCGCACTCTCTGTGCGCGGGGCAGATACAGTTGCCTCCCTGATATTCTGTCTGTGTGTGTGTGTGTGTGTGTGTGTGTGTGTGTGTGTGTGTGTGTGTGTGTGCTTCTTGTGCCGTGTGCTCAGCATCAGCTACATGTTAACCATTAGCTCACGCTCCACTACTGGACACATCAGGCCTGCTGGTCACTTCCAGCGGGATTAAAGGGAAAGTCTGAGGGAGCAGCTCTAACTACATATATATATATATAACTTTAATTATCAGTAATAACAAAATTAGTAAATTAAATAACAAATAAATGCCAAAAATAAACAAATAATGAAAAAAGTTCAAATAATATATTATCTAATTAATATCTATCTGTTTCTAATATCAATCTTTTCATCAATCTGTTTCTAGCTGTAGTAATATATTATAAATATATTATTATATATAGCATATATAATACAAATTAAGAGATAATACTAATAGTAATAATAATAATAATAATAATAATAATAATAACAGTAATAATACTGTGTAACGACACTAACAAGCTCGTTTAATTAGCCTATCACCACCGTCGTTAATTCGCGGTGAAAGATGATGAGGTAAAAACATCGATTTCCTTTTTTTCTTTCTTTTTTCTCTCTCTCTCTCCGTTGTCTAGCTCCGCCCGACTCGCGCTCCTCCCGCCTCCTGCCGCGGTTTCTGCGCTCCCGGGCTGCGGCCGTCCATCTGAAAGTCAAATCGCAGCTCAGCGCGGGATCAGGTGTCCGAGAGCCCCGCGCGCATGTGCCGTATAGGACCGCGGGGCACATTCAGCCGTTCAGCCCCGCTGCTCTGTTCCAGCGGTGCAGAGAGAGAACACCACCACCTGCTGGCTGCGCCCTGTACTGCAGCCCCAAAAACACAGGGCGGCTAACTGTACAGCAGTGTTTGAGTGCCCGGCCCTGCAGTCCAGAGGAGGTCAGATCCGGATCACTGTCCTTCACGACTTTCATATGAATAAGAAGATATGTGACCCTAAATAAAGCTGGGCAGGGTGGTCAAACTCTAGGAACAAGGTTAGGCAGTTTT